AAATAGCCATTAGGCGTTTGTTAACGTCTAATGGCTGAACCGGAGCAACGTACACGTGAAAAGATCCGGTTGGCTGAAGTTGGTTTTTATAAGACAACGGGTTGTAGGTTTTAGACTTTTCATTGTAATGACCGGTTATTACTGGTTGACGCCAACTATAGTCTTGGATGTATTGCTATTTTTAATTTTAGGTGGAGGTTGTTTTCGTAATTGTCAATTTAATAATGAAGTAAATTTAAAGAGTATGTTCATTTCACAACTCAAGTCATAACTTAAGTTATGATTTGAGTCGTATATGTGAGAAAAAACTACTGTAATTAAAAAGTTAAATTTAAATTTTTATTAAAGAAAACACTATAGCAATAAAATTTGAGTTGTGAAGTTTAAATGCCGGTTGTTACATCATTGTAACTAATTGAGACTTTTGCCAAGGTGGAATAGTGACAGGTGGAATCGCTATTAGTAACTAAAATAAATTTTTTGAGATTCATGTAAGAATCTATTTTTTAAAATGTTATAACTTATTTATAGTAATTCTGATTAAGATTATTTTTATTTCATTGTCCGTAGCATCGAGTGAACAAAATAAGATCCATATTGCGTGCGTTATTTTTCATTGAAGATACTGTATGTTTAATATGTTGTAAAATTATGTTTGTCATATTTAAAAATATCACAACTTTGTCGTAATAACTCTGATTGCAACAATTTTTCTTTCTATGTGTCATAACAATGAACAGAATCAAAACAAGATCTATATTGACTGGATTATTTTCTATGAACAATGTCAAATTCGATAGGTATGGTTCTGAATACAATATGGTGCAAAACAATATTTTTCGTATTTAAAAGTGATAGGTCTGTTGGAAATATGTAAAAAGCACTAACCACAATAGTACATAAAAGAAAGGTTCTATATGGTCAGATTATCGATGTGGTTATAGACTACTCTCGAGTGTCGAACGACTTAGTAAGTTGATTGGAGTCAATTTTTGAATTGATAGAACGCTAGAATGAGAACGTAAAGTACGAGAAAATAAATGAACGCACATATTTATAGTAGTTCACCTTCAATGTGAAGGCAACGTCCATTATAGAGTCTCAGAGTTTCACTTTGTCTTGTAAAAAGTACAATTACAATAGAGAATAAGAAAGAGAGAGAAATGAGAAGGGGATTTTGAGAAATAATCTAGAGAGAGGAGTAAATGTGCCAATGATTGTTTTCAGGTGTCGATCGCGTTGGTAATTTTATTGGAGTGAATAGATCGCTAGAACGAGAACGTAAAGTGCGAGAAAATAAATGAAGACACAAATTTATAATGGTTCATCTTTAGTGTGACGGCAACGTGCACTGAAGGATCTCGAGACTCACTGTATCTTGTAAAAAGTATAATTATAATAAGAAAGAGAGAGAAAGGAGGAGGTGATTTATTTTGGAAAGAGGAGTAAATGTGCAGAATATGCAGTAAATAAGCGATCAGAATGAGATGTCTTGAGTTGACGTGTTGTTGATAGGAGAATGGGTAGTTTTCTCTTTCTTTAGTTGACTTTTTTCTTCTTTATTTCCTTATTTGCTTCGTGGTAGCTTTCCTCTTTAATATTGATCTAATTTGTGCCTTTGATATCATATTGAGCTGGATTTGACTTCGTGGCCTACAAGGAACCTTCTTTCCTTATTTATTCATAGTTGTCCCCCATGGGTCTGTGCTTCTCTAGTTTACACTGTCTCTCACGTCGATCTCGCAGCTAGTTGATTTCAGTTAAAAATCTTCGTCAAAACGTTGTCCACGAGTACAACTGTGATCTTGGTGTTGATTTTACCCCTAACATCATACTTTTACATAACCACATCATATGCTCGTCATATCGAACTTCTCTCCTATATACTATTGTGGTTATAATTTTTCCACTTGCCATATCGACTAATCATTTTTACTTCAACTTCAGTGTAATAAGAATAACAACGTTCAGATTGAGATTAGAGAAACACAGTTTCAATTCAAATTATACAAGCAGTACCAAACCTACTAAATATGACAATGTTTAATGAATAACATCCGGTCAATATCGCTATTGATTCATATTGCAGCAATAGTAGTATGGAATGGTATGTTGATATACCTAATTTTAAGCATCAAAAGGTAAAGACACAGTTTGAATTAGAGAGAGAATCTGACTTGGAAAGCCTTGCGTTGGGTTGCACCATCTTTGGAGACGCTATCTGTGGAGTAGTGTTAGGCAAAGATAGCTTATTGGTGTGGACTTAAATCCTTGTTCTGTGCTTTCTAGGAGCTCGATCGATCTTGCAGCACTTACCAATGAGTCCCCATCGATTAGTGTTATTGTATACATTGATTTCTTCATAGTTTGCTATCGATCTTGCTACTTTAGACAGCTTTTTAACGAATAGAGAACTTCAGGGGTTATTTTTCTGTATTTTTGAGCTACGGTGATTTGAGTGATGATTAGTTGAGTTTGAGTTATAACTTAAGTTTGTGTTTAGATGTGTGATGAGTGAGTTTTACTCGCTCATTTAGTATCATTTTACACTTAATATCTAGTTGGTTTCGAGGTTTTTGTTAGTTTTTATGTGTGTTTTCGTTCTTTGTTTGAAGGATAGGTGAAAGTCTATGATTTGGAAGGTTTTGGACAAATTTCGGTGGAAAAAGACAGCAATCATAGTGCTTAGGCACCAATCTGTAGCGCCTTGGCGCTGAGTTTTACGGAATCAGCGTATTGGGCAGAATTGGTGGCGCTTTGGCGCCCATGATAGCGCCGCAGCGCCTAGAATTTTACACAACAGCGCCGCAGCACTAGAAACTCAGCGCCGCGGTCTACGACGCGAAAAAAGACGCGTTTTGAAGGCCAATCGCGAGAAAACTTACCCGTTTTGACCCTAATGCTCGGAAATATATAAATAGATGATTCCGGGGTAATTGAGGGGACTTTTAGACTGTGGAGTGACGGCTGGCTTTTGGGAGAAGATTTAAGAGAAGAAAAGGAGAATTGGGTACGGAGAAGACGAACAGCTTAAATTCGAGACGGAGACGCTTCAATTCAACTCCAAACTAGTTCTTTTCTTTCCTTTCCAATGATTACGACTTTGTTTAGGAATTTATTTTGTTTAGAGATGAACTAATTCCTTTTTCTAGGGCTACGATATAGCCGGATTATGAATGTTCAGATTCTCAATCTTATTTTTAAGTAATTAATGTTTAATCCATATATGCTGAGTATTTCAATTTATTCTTAATGCTTGTGATTGTTTGGCCAACTATTACATGATTTTGTATTTAATTTGAGACCGAGAGGTGATAATTAAATAAGCTCTTAATTGAAATACCATGAGTTGTTCATAGGATAGAGATATCTATGATGTTTGTCCAGTTCTTTTGAATTTCTTGCACTTAATGATTTTCAACACGTTTAGAAGTCTGATAGAGTTGTAGATTTTGCTTGTTGGATTAATATTATCGTTGCTTGAGAAAGAATAATAATTGCTTTAGAGAAATTACTGTCAGTATAGGATTGAATGTTAATTTTCTTGAATTATGAGAATTTGAACAAGATTAATTTTGGTGAAATGGGAAACCCTAGAGTCTTAATCTATTGAATTTTATTCCATTGTATAACGTTGTTTGATTTATTTAATCGTTTTAGTTTTACTTTACTTAATTTTATAAACTCACTTTTCAATTATTCAAATAAAATTAGGGTTAATATCATTTTGGTAATTAGTAAACAACAATCCTCGTGGGACGATATTTTTATTCACTATTATATTACTTGATTGCGATAGCGTATACTTGCGTTACGATTTTTCACAACAAGTTTTTGGCGCCGTTGCCGGGGATTGTTTTGTTTTTATTAATATCGATACCAAATAACCCTAGTTTTACTTTGAATTTTATCTTGTTATTTATTTTATTGTTCTTGTTTTGTGCTCTGCAGGAATTTACTCTACGTGCATGCGAAAGTTTGGGAGCATTATTCTACTTCCTTTTTATTCAAAAATTGAGCGTACTTGTCGAAGAAATAGAAAAGAAAAGAGAGAAACTGTCATTCAGTCGGAAGAAACTATGGCTGATCCTGAAAGGGCAATAAATGAGAACAACAACAACAACATACCACTGAACAATCCACCGGTGGTCAATCAGCCAATGGCTTTGCGAGATTATGCATTGCCACCATCTGGCGTTCAATCAGTGATAAGGAGGCTGGCTATTCAGGTGAATAATTTTGAATTAAAGCCGGTAATGTTGCAGATGATTCAAGCGATCCAATTTAATGGGTTGCCGAATGAAGATCCTAATGCTCACATCACAAATTTTCTGGAGATTTGCGATACTATCAAATACAATGGAGTCAATGATGAAGCTCTTCGCCTTCGTTTGTTTCCTTTCTCTATGAGAGATAAAGCAAAAAATTGATTGAACTCACTGCCGCCAAATTTGATTACTAGTTGGGAAGACTTAGTTCAGAAGTTCCTTTCTAAGTTTTTCCCACCAGCTAAAACAGCGAAGATGCGGATCGAGATCAAGAATTTTGCTCAATATAAAGGTGAAACTCTATATGAAGCATGGGAGGGATACAAGGAGTTACTGAGAAGATGTCCTCATCATAGTCTACCTAAATGAATGCAAGTCCATAATTTTTATAATGGATTAAGTGGCACTACAAGAACTCTAATTGATGCATCTGCAGGAGGAGCGTTAATGAAGAAAACTGAAGATGAGGCATATGAGTTGCTAGAAGATATGGCAACCAATAATTACCAGTGGCCTAGTGAAAGAAGCATACCAAAGAAGACAGCCGGACTACATGAAGTTGATGCCATCACTAATTTAACTGCCCAAATCGCTTATCTGTCCAAACAATTACAAAGTACTCAATTGACAACCAATGCCATCCAAACATCTTCTCCAGTGTGTGAGTTTTGCAACGGATCTCACCAAAGTTTTGAGTGTCAAGCGGACAACCCATTTGCACAGGCACAAATGGAGCAGGCTCAATACGTGGGGAATTACACTAAGCAGCAGAACAATCCGTACTCTAACAGGTTTAATCAAGGATGGCGTAATCCCAAACTTGTCTTGGAGAAACAATAAAAATGTATTGCAGCCCGAACAGAGCAACTTGCCACAAGAGAAGAAGGTGAATCTGGAAGAGACAATGGCTTAATTGGCTACCTCTCACACGTAATTCATGAATGAAACTAGGAAAAATTTCCAGAATCAATCAGCTCAAATCAGAAGTTTAGAGGTACAAATGAGTCAAATGGCTAACATGTTTTCTGAGAGGCAACAGGAAAATTTGCCTAACACTTCTGAAGTGAATCCAAAAAGAGATGGAAAGGAGTATTGCAAAGCAGTTACCTTGAGAAGTGGTAAAGAATTAGAAGCTCCGGTGAGAATTGAAAAGCTTGAGAAAGATAAGCAGAGGGTGTTGTCTCAAACACAAGAGGCTACAAAAAAGGATATTGAAGTTAAGGTAGAAACTCAAGCACTAACTCCTCAAGAACCATCTCTCAGAATTCCTTTTCCTCAACGCCTGAAGAAAAGCAAACTAGATCAACAGTTTGCTAAATTCATCAATGTATTCAAGAAATTTCACATCAATATCCCATTCACTAAAGCTCTAGAACAAATGCCGAGTTATGTGAAGTTTATGAAAGACATCTTGTCAAACAAGAGGAAACTAGAGGACTATGAAACAGTTGCACTTACTGAAGAGTGCAGTGCCATATTACAAAGGAAGTTGCCCCAGAAGCTTAAAGATCCAGGGAGTTTCACCATCCCTTGTTCAGTTAGGAATGTTGTGTTCGAGAAGGCATTATGTGACTTAGGTGTAAGCATCAACTTAATGCCTTTATCTATCTTTCAAAAGTTGGGTTTAGGTGAAGCAAGACCTACCACAGTGACACCACAATTGGCAGATCGCTCTATTAAGCACCCTAGAGGAGTAATTGAGGATGTGCTCGTTAAAGTTGACAAGTTTATCTTCCCTGCAGAGTTCATAGTTCTTGACATGGAGGAAGATAAAGAAATACCTATCATACTTGGAAAATCATTTCTAGCGACAGGAAGAGCACTTATCGATGTTCAAAAGGGTGAACTGCACCTTCAGGTACAAGAAGAATACTTAATTTTTAATGTCTTCAATACTATAAAATACCCAGAAGCAAGTGATAGTTACTTTCGGATTGATGAAATGGAAGCTATAGTGTCTAACCATGTGGGTCAATCAGATCCCTTGGAGACTAGCTTATTGCAAAATGATTCTTCAATCATGAAGGATGAGGAGGTGATAGAGTATTTACGGTGGATGGATTCCTTTGAGCCAAATAAAAGGAAATACTTTGAAACTCTGGGACAAAGCTCCTCACGTCCCATGCCATCAATTGAAAAGCCGCCGAATCTCGAACTAAAACCATTACCGGCACATTTTCGTTATGCATATCTTGGTGAATCATCAACTTTACCGGTAATCATTTCCTCTGTACTCTCTCTTGAAGAAGAAGATAAGTTATTAAGAGTGCTGAGAGACCACAAGTCTGCAATTGGGTGGTCTTTGGCAGATATTAAGGGAATTCGCCCATCTATGTGTATGCATCGTATTCTGTTGGAAGACAACATCAAACTATCAGTGGAAGCACAACGAAGACTTAATCCAACCATGAAAGAGGTGGTGCGAAAAGAAGTGTTAAAATGGTTAGATGCGGGAGTGATTTACCCAATCTCAGACAGCTCATGGGTGAGTCCAGTGCAAGTAGTGCCTAAAAAAGGAGGAATGACGGTAGTGAAGAATGAAAATAACGACCTTATCCCTACAAGAACTGTTATAGGATGGAGAATATGCATTGATTACAGGAAGTTAAGTAAAGCCACACGAAAAGATCATTTTCCTTTACCTTTTATTGATCAGATGCTAGATCGGTTAGCGGGCCATGAGTACTACTGTTTTCTAGATGGCTATTCCAGATACAATCAAATAGCCATAGCACCAGAGGACCAAGAGAAGACTACATTTACATGTCCTTATGGCACTTTTGCTTTTCGAAGAATGCCGTTTGGATTATGCAACGCTCCTAGCACTTTTCAAAGGTGTATGATGGTTATTTTCTCAGACATGGTGGAGCGGATAATTGAGGTATTTATGGATGACTTTTCTGTCATTGGAAATTCATCTGATGATTGCCTTGACAATCTTAAACAGGTGCTAATCCGATGTGAATAAACTAACTTAGTTTTAAATTGGGAGAAATGTCATTTTATGGTGCGTGAAGGCATAGTTTTGGGCCACCGGATTTCTTCCAAAGGCATTGAGGTTGATCGAGCTAAGATCGAGACAATAGAAAAGTTACTACCACCAACATTAGTAAAAGGGATAAGGAGTTTTTTGGGTCACGCGGGCTTCTACAGAAGATTTATCAATAACTTTTCTAAGATCTCCAAGCCACTCTCAAGTCTTCTGGTGCAAGGCACTTCTTTTGTTTTCAGTGAAGAGTGTCAACGGGTATTCTATAATCTCAAAGAGAAACTTGTGTCTGCACCAATTATTGTAACTCCAGATTGGGAGTTGCCATTTGAATTGATGTGCGATGCGAGTGATTATGCGGTAGGGGCTGTTCTTGGGCAACGCAAGAATAAGGTGTTTCATGCTATCTACTACGCCAGTCGCACTCTCAATGATGCCCAACTTAATTATGCAACCACAGAGAAGGAGTTATTGGCAATTGTGTTCGCCTTTGACAAGTTTCAGCCTTATTTAATCAGCAATAAGGTAATTGTTTTCACAGATCATTCTGCAATTAAGTACCTTATGACCAAGAAGGATGCTAAACCGAGACTCATCCGTTGGGTGCTGTTATTACAAGAATTTGACTTGGAGATAAGAGATAAGAAAGGAATAGAAAATCTCGTGGCGGATCACCTCTCTAGACTTGAATTACCGAAGGAAGAAGAAGTGAAAAAGCCTCCAATTGATGATAAATTTCCTGATGAGCAACTATTCACTATTTACTCTGCAAAGCTGCTTCCTTGGTATGCCGATATTGTGAACTACCTTGCAGCCAAAATTGTACCTTCGGAGTTTTCTTATCAACAAAAGAAGAAGTTTTTCTCCAATGTCAAGCATTATTATTGGGAGGAACTGGTGCTTTATAAACATTGCGCATATCAAATTATTCAGATATGTGTCCCGGAAGAAGAGATGGAGGATATCCTAAGGCATTGCCATACACTTGAGTGTAGAGGCCATTTTAGGGGAAATCAAACTGCCGCTAAAGTTCTCCAATCGGGATTCTATTGGCCAAGCTTGTTCAAGGATGCTTATGCTTTCGTGACGGCGTGTGATAGATGCCAAAGAATGGGGAATATTTCTAGGAGGAATGAAATGTCACTGCAAACTATTCTAGAAGTGGAGTTATTCGACGTATGAAGAATTGACTTTATGGGCCTGTTTCCTTCATCTTATAACAACAAGTATATCCTTTTAGCAGTGGATTATGTTTCCAAATGGGTGGAGGCATTGGCAACTCCAACAAATGATGGCAAAGTGGTGCTAAATTTTCTCCGGAAAAATATTTTCACTCGATTCGGGACTCCAAGAGCTGTAATTAGTGATGAGGGATCTCACTTCTGCAACAAACTATTTGAAGCTCTACTGGCAAAATATGGAGTCAAACATCGAACTGCGCTAGCATATCACCCTCAAACGAATGGCCAAGCCGAGATATCAAATAGAGAGGTGAAGCTAATTCTAGAGAAGACTGTTCAAAGATCCAGGAAGGATTGGGCAAGGAAGCTTGATGACGCACTCTGGGCTTATCAGACGGCATTCAAAACGCCAATAGGGATGTCTCCCTATAGGTTAGTTTATGGAAAAGCATGTCACCTTCCAGTCAAATTGGAGCATCAAGCATATTAGGCCATGAAGCAGTTGAATCTGGACATGCAAGCGGCTAGTAAAAAGAGACTTCTGCAGATTAACGAGATGGAGGAGTTCCGAAATGATGCATATGAGAATGCCAAGATTTACAAGGAGCGAACAAAGGCTTAGCATGACAAGCACATTTCAAGAAGAGAGTTCAAGCCGGGCCAACAAGTGTTGCTATATAATTCAAGCCTGCACTTATTTCCAGGAAAGCTTAAGTCCAAATGGTCAGGGCCATTTACAGTGATGAGAGTATTTCCTTATGGAGCAGTTGAAGTCACTCATGATGCAAAGGGAACGTTCAAGGTCAACGGACAACGTTTGAAGCAATATATTAATTGTGGCTTTGATCAAAAGAAGACCATCATTCTCCTGAACTCACCATGAGAAGCAAGACGTCGGGCTGATGACATTAAACCAAGCGCTTCTCGGGAACCCGAGCCTTCTAACATCTTTTATTTATTATTATTATTATTAGATTATTTTTAGTTTACTTATTGTGTTTTAAATTGATTGATAGGTTAATAAACAAGTTTGGGGGTTGCTCTAAGGATTTACAATTGAAATGAAGCTCAAGAAGGCATGAAAGCACGAATTTGGCAGCAGCAATGGCGTTTTGGCACCCATCTGAGCACTTTGGCGCTCAAAATAGAGTGTTTCAAGTAAAAGTGACAGAGCACGTAGCGCCTTGGCGCTACATTTGAGTGCCTTGTGCTACCCCCAAAAAAAATGACAATCAGCAAAAGACAGCACCAGTTCGGGATGGCAAACATAGAACATGCCCAAACACTCATTCTTCTTCATAGCTATTCCAAAAACTCAGGCCAAAACACACACCACCGTCCCCAAACTCCACCCTCACTCTGAAATTTCTTGCCAACATTCTCAAATCCGCCTCTAGCTGATCTCCCTTTGATCCATTCTCATTGAATCCAAGAACTTCACGAGCTAGGACAAGCACAAACCGTAGGGTCTTGAATGCCGGGGTGGTCCTCCATCCGACGAAAGGTCAGTTTTGATTCCCTGTGTTGTTTTGAGAATTACTTGCTGAATTGATATGGAATGAGAGGATTATCTGAGAGTATTGAAAAATTTGGGGGGAGTGAGATGTTTTAGCATAAGAAACGTGAGATTTGCTATCCTGCATGCTAGGTGTTTGTCACAAGTCCTGAGAGGACGTTTTTAGTGTTTTTTTTTTTTTTGGTGTTGCTTCGAAAAAGGGACATTAGTTTAGACGTGGTTCTTAGTTGGCATACACGTTACCCAATTTTCATCGCTTCCAAGCATCTACGCACTTCAACTCCGGAAGCTTCATCTTCGAAGAAGGAAAAATTCGACAAAGTCAAATTTATAAGCTTTAAAGCATCATAGAGGTATAAGTAATCCGTGGTAAAAAAAAAATTGTGTTCCAGAAAGAGGGATTAACTGCCCCGGTACGCTTATGAATGAGCACATCGAGGGCCGAAATTGGCAAGAATTTGTAAAGCAACCAAAGGCAGCACTAGTTCCAGTGGTTCGAGAATTCTATGCCAATGCCAAGAAACATAAAAACAAGAGAGTATATGTTCGCGGTAAATGAGTGTCCTTCGATAGTACGACTATCAACAGGTATTATAAACTGCCCGATATAGAGGATGATGAGTACACTCAATATCGACAGGAACCTGACACGGAAGAGATTATTCGGTACTTGACAAGCTCTCGTGTAAGCTGGAAGACATCTACCACAGATGTTATTAACTTCTCTTCATCCGGGCTAGCCCATGAGGCAAAGGCATGGCATTATTTCATATCTGCCAAATTGCTTCCGAGCAATAATATTTCTGAGGTGAAAAAGGAGCGTACGATTTTAAATTGTGCTATTTTCTTGGACTTTAGCATAGATGTGGGGAAGATCATTGAGAAGTCCATTCTTGATACGATCCAAGGGAAAACGACAGGGGGACTTGGACATCTATCATTGACTTATGATTTGTGTTACCAAGTCAGAATTCCAACGACCTCAGATGAAGAAATTCAGCACCCAAAGGCGGTCATAACTCGGAAGAAAATGGAGAGCTACAAGTCTAATGAGCAAAGGCCCACTATAGCTCCAACCTCACCACTACCGGGCCCTAGTTCTTCTGGACAACCGAATAATTCCTCAACGGAGCTGAATGAGCTGAGGCATTGCGTAGACCAATTGCAACTTATGGCGCACGAATAACAACAGTGGCAGGAGAGAGTTGATCAACATTTGGGCCAAATTCAATATAATCAAGATCAAATTGCTGCAAGACAATATGTGCAGTTTGATTACCTGGCACAGTTCACTACAAGTTTGAGGGAAATGTTTTCCAATTGTGCACTTAACTCTGGACCTGATGGAATTGTCTTTCCTCAACCTCCAACTTTGCCGCCATACACTCCAGCCAGACGCCACCATCCTACCCCCGCACGTTCTACAACTCCTCCTGATGACAATGAAGACAATGATTGACAACTCCTCAGGGAAGTCCTTTAACTCTCTTGTTTTATTTTTCCATTGAGGACAATGTCAGTTTCAAGTTTGGGGGAGTTAACTATCTCATTTTATGTTGTTTAATTCAATTTATAAAAAAAAAAAAAAAATTGAGCTTTGGTTCGGGTTGTTTCACCCCAGCCGATAATGAGACAACGATTGAACTTAACTATGGCTTCTAGGAGACAATGAATAATTTGATTGTTTGTGTGCTTGACTTGTTTGTTGGTTTTACTCTACTTATGATTTCCTTGCATTGTTGAGCACATAATTAAGAGCACTTAGTCATGTTGTGAACTTAGAGAAAGTTTATGTGATTTTCATGTTTCTGAGGATCTCACCGGACTCTAGAACTTGTTTGATTATTACTCGAGGCAAAATCCCAGGCAATTTATTACTAAGGAAATGATTTAGGCAATTTTTAGATCGTTTGAGCCATTTGATCTTACCCTGTTATAATAATATCCCTAGTCACCGCTTTGAGCCTGATTAAACTCTTCTTTGTCATCCACATTATAAGCTTAGCATTTAAATAAACCCTATCATTCACCCTTTCCCTTGAGCTTGTTGATTATTCTAGGATGCACGTTGAGTTGTGTTTAGAATTGAGAGGTGTATTGATATTGTCTATAATTTGTTTGATGTCTCCAAATGAAATTATGTATTTTTCGTATTAATTAAAAAAAATGAAAAAAAAAAGAGAATGAAATAAAGAGTGGAGACAAGAATGTTGTTGGCAAATGGCGGTTGTATTTGGGATATTGAGTTAGAAGTTCTACAAGAGGATCCTAGAGTAATTGATGAGTTTAGGAAATTTAGAGCCTTATTGATATCCTTTTATCCTACCTTAACCCATAGCCATTCAATTCAAGCTTAATGAAGTCCTATTGATCCTTGGTAGTTTATTGACCGACATTAGTGGAGAGTGATAAGAAAAGCAAGCCTATGGAGTTTCAAAAAAATCAGAGATCTACCTTGATTCACTTAATTGCATAAACTCATCCGAGTTGCATGTGGGTATGTGTAATTGATAATTCACACACACACATAAGGAGTCGTAGGTAGGGGTGAGATTAGCATTCGAGTTGAAATTCTAAACTTTTAAAAAGTTTAAAGTCTTTCTTGAGCTGTAACTTATGTGAGATCTCTGAGGCACTTTTGTGAAACAACGCCGAATCAATACTCAAGTAAAGTTTCATTTATTTATGTTTCGTATTACTCGTGTTTTTATTTCTTTTCGTTTTCTTTCTTTGATTTTTGTTTTGCTCGAGGACTAGCAAAATATTAAGTTTGGGGGTATTTGATGAGTGAGTTTTACTCGCTCATTTAGTATCGTTTTACACTTAATATCTAGTTGGTTTCGAGGTTTTTGTTAGTTTTTATGTGTGCTTTCGTTCTTTGTTTGAAGGATAGGTGAAAGTCTATGATTTGGAAGGTTTTGGACAAATTTTGATGGAAAAAGACAGCAATCATAGCGCTTAGGCGCCAATCTGTAATGCCTTGGCGCTGAGTTTTACGGAATCAGCGCATTGGGTAGAATTGGTGGCGCTTTGGCGCCAGTTTGTAGCACCACGGCGCTGAAATCCGACGGAATTAGTGCATTGGGCAGAATGGGCAGCGCTTTGGCGCCCATGACAGCACCGCAGCACCCAAGATTTTACACAACAGCGCCGCAGCGCTAGAAACTCAACGCCGCGGCACTACGACGCGATAAAAGACGCGTTTTGAAGGCTAATCGCGAGAAAACTTATCCGTTTTGACCCTAATGCTCAGAAACATATAAATAAATGATTCTAGGGCAATTGAGGGGACTTTTGGACTGTGGAGTGATGGCTGGCTTTTGGGAGAAGATTTAAGAGAAGAAAAGGAGAATTGAGTACGGAGAAGACGAACGGCTCAAATCCGGAGACGAAGACACTTCAATTCAACTCCAAACTAGTTCTTTTCTTTCCTTTCCAATGATTACGACTTTGTTTAGGAATTTATTTTGTTTAGAGATGAACTAATTCCTTTTTCTAGGGCTACGATGTAGCCGGATTATTAATGTTCAGATTCTCAATCTTATTTTTAAGTAATTGATGTTTAATCCATATATGATGAGTATTTCAATTTATTCTTAATGCTTGTGATTGTTTGGCCAACTATTACATGATTTTGTATTTAATTTGAGACCGAGAGATGATAATTAAATAAGCTCTTAATTGAAATACCATGAGTTGTTCATAGGATAGAGATATCTATGATGCTTGTGCAGTTCTTATGAATTTCTTGCACTTAATGATTTTCAACACGTTTAGAAGTCTGACAGAGATGTAGATTTTGCTTGTTGGATTAATATTATCGTTGCTTGAGAAAGAATAATAATTGCTTTAGAGAAATTGCTGTCAGTATAGGATTGAATGTTAATTTCCTTGAATTATGGGAATTTGAACATGATTAATTTTGGTGAAATCGGAAACCCTAGAGTCTTAATCTATTGAATTTTATTCCATTGTTTAGCGTTGTTTGATTTATTTAATCGTTTTGATTTTACTTTACTTAATTTTATAAACTCACTTTTCAATTATTCAAATAAAATTAGGGTTAATATAATTTCGGTAATTAGTAAACAACAATCCTCGTGGGACAATATTCTTATTCACTATTATATTACTTGATTGCGATAGCGTATACTTGCGTTACGAGTTTGTAATTCGAGTTGAGATGTGATTTTGTGTGAGAGCTTTTTACTGTAGCAAAAAAGTTAGATGTGACTGTTTCTGAGAGCTTTTTATTGTAGCAAAACTCGAATTCTAAACTCGAATCGGCGAAATGAACGGGACTTGAGTTCAGTTTGAGTTATAACTTAAGTTTGTGTTTGGATGTGCACATTTGAGTTATGATTTGAATTGAAAATCTTTTTGAGTTTGTGTTTATGTGGGTCAAAACTTAAATTTGTATTTAGATAGTATTTTAATAAAAACTCAATAGTGATGAAAAATTTTAATAGAGTTTATGGGTGGGATTTTATTCGTCTTTTCGTTGTGAATGCATAAAAAAAAATCATCTCAATCAGAATTAAAACGAAAAAGTTACGACATTTTTAATAATAGAATAAATATTGTTCATCAATTTGAGTTCGAATTTCTGAACTCGAGTTGAAGGAAAATTTTAAACTCGAGTTTAACCTCAAACTCGAGTTCAAATTCAAGTTCAAACTCAAATTTTATAAAAGAACACGAACTTAAATAAAATTGTAACTCGAGTTTAAATTTTTTTTTAGTTTCGTTGAAAAAGAACTATAGCATTCTCCATTTTATTCGTACAATAACTTTGAGTCCGATTGCTATAATTAGAGGTACAATGTCGGCTTGTTTGTATTTTGAAATATTGCTGACATGACCCTCTTGTAAGATATTGTTCCTCCAGCGATATACAGTTTTGCTTGTAAGATATTGTTCCTCCACCGATATACAGTTCTTCAAAATTTTGGTGTCCAACGGTGTTGGTGTTGCCGAGGAATTAAGCAGACTCAACGGTGTTGGTTTAGTTAGGTAGTGTAGTGAATTTTAAAAAAATTACTTTTATTTGTATTAAAAAAAATAGTTGTTATAAAAAGTAATTAAGTGTTAATAAATTATAATTATACTAACTATATTAGTTTCAAAATCAATGTAATAACGTTTGGTAAATTATGAGGTTGAAATGCTATGGGTAGTTAAAATAACTAAAATATACATTATATGAAACTTATATATATAATTATTTTTGATATTTAGAAATACTTGTTTAACTTAAAAAAAAAAAAAAACATAATGCTATGATCATGAGTTTTCTAATAATAAATTTACGATAATTAATTCTTTTTATTTTCATTTCTTCATTCATAATATAGTTACAACAAAAAAAAAAAACATTTGTGAGTAATCAACATAAACAACAAAAATGTACATTCTATGTTCAAAAACTGGTAGAGATATGAAAAACTTAAATCGTGTTCATTAAACTTGCCGCAATTTAATCTCGTACTTCATCCATTTTCAGTGATAGTAAATGTTAATTTTCTTCTACATTGTCCTCTGGTTAATTCTCATCATAAACAAAAACATCTGAATTATCTTCGACCCTTTGAAAATGTTGATCACGCTTATTATGCTTTCTAATGTAGTTATGGAGCGTCATTGTTGTAATAACTATTTTCTCTTGCTTCGTAAATGAATAATTAAGCATGTCTCAATATTTTTCATTTTTCTTCCAAACACTAAAAGCAGATTCAATGACACTTCGAAAAGAAAAATGTACTTGGTTGAATACTTCTTTCGAAAATCCTACCAAGCAGTCACGGCTCTTGATCATCAAGGATGCATTCCTCAGCTCAAATAAAATAGTGTAGAACCATTTTCCATGAGTTGTTTCAACCATGGTAAACCAACATACAAATGTTCACAAGCAGCTTTTACCAAACTGTTGCATTGGTGTTAAAAACTGAAGTTCATCAACAACTGAAATCAGAAAAGAAATTAGAGTCAAACGTTTACAAGTCACTCAAGCAATGGACAATATCACAAAAACAAATTAGAGTCAAACGTTTACAACTGAAATCATTGATGTTATAAACCGTAGTTAATCAATAACTAAAATCAGGAAAGAAATTAGAGTCAAATGTTTACAAGTCCCTCAAGCATGAGTCCCAACTCGATACATGCACAAACAAACTGCAATGCAGGAACATCTAACTCAATCACAGTAATGAGTCCAACTCCGTATATCCTTTGAAGATGCTTCATACTGATAAGAGCTTAACCATACTTGGGGACAAAATCTAGATAGGGGCAAATGGAAAGAATCGAGAGAAGAAAAGAAAGAATCAATTGAAGAATTTTATTAGCAACATGACATGTACACCAGCCCGCAGATCTTTGAGGGTCTGCTACCTCCCATTTCTTGGAACGTTTCCAAGATTTGTACAATTCCCTGATTATTCCCGATCCCCCTTTCTATTCCTCACCCCTCCCCTTTTATACATTCCTCACACATTCCCCTCTCACCAGCGTTCTAAGTAAGTAAACTACTAATACTACAAGTTCCCACTGTAAGCTGAAAACAACTTCATCCCGACCAGACCTCGCCCCTTCCTAAGCCTTTATTCCTCCTAATGTACACTTGCCTGAGTAAAGACTTATCAATTACCTCCCATGATCTTCTCCAATAGCTGTCTAAAGTGCCTACCAGGAAACTTCTGCCAAATATGTGCCCTGGAGGCATCACAGGCATGATGTAGGAACCGCAAAAACTCTCCAATGGAGCTACATTTTCCGCCTCTTTTGACATGGATAGGCTCCACGACTACATCAGTTGTTTTTCCAAGTTGGATGGCTTTTCTTGCCTCGTCAATAACTCCATCTTCTGCCAATCTCACTCTATCTTCACCACCCCTTGCATTCAAAGCACCAAGAGCTCTTCTTTTTCTTGCTCCAAATAGGTGTGTAAAAGACACAAAATGAACCAGTCTCTCATCACGGGACAACCTCTAGAATTCCAAAGCAAAATCTATAGCACTATCATTAGCTAGCCACAAGAAAGGGTATATATGAACACCTTCTTAGTAAAAGACAAGGAGACAACACGGTCTGCAAAACGCCTCTGCACAGGCCACAGAATAAGAAAATCAAAATGTAATCAAATGCATGTAATGAACATAGCCATTCATCTCATTCATCCCTACAGAGCATAATATCAACAAAATAATAATAATCTAATGCCTCTCATCTAAATTAGCTCTGAACAAGACATAAAAAGAAGCCATGTGCTCACTAGACTCTAGTCTTGAAACCAAACCTTAATAGGTTCAAAAAAAAAATCCAAAATCTGCAGTCACTACCACAATACAAGTGTACGATAGATTGATCACTAGAATAATGAGCATCATCAAGCAGAAACCATGATTAATCATAAAGATGATTGCATGCAATCTAGTTTTAAATTAAAGATTCCCAGGGGGTAAGACTATCAATGAAAACCATAAGATTAGCCCACTATCACGGACCTTTTCTTCTCATAAGGTAACCGTGCGGCGTTAGCACTCCCGAGCTATGCTAACAAGCCTAACTTCACGCAAATACAAGGCTAATAAAGTGAAAGTAAAGAAACAAGAATAAAAACACTCGAGAAAAGGAGAAAAATGAAAAGCGCTTCACTAAGTATGGTAAACCTTTGCAATAGCTTTCACTCCAATATTTTTGGTTGGCTCTCACAAATAAAGGGACCACCCCTATTTATAGGCCAAGGAGACTCTCCCCTGAATATTCTAGAATGCTATGGAATACCACCTATCCTAGAACTTTCTAGAGAATGCTTACAAAGTGTGGACACTCTATAAGTTTCTAGAGTCTTCTACAAAGGACTACTCTATAAAACCATTCACAAGGTTTTAAAGAACTCTAAGGTTCTCCCAAAGACTAGACTCCTCTGGAATTTTTTAGAACAATCCATATGGTAGACAATTATAGAGTGACTTGCACACAAAATAGGAGAAGACAATGAAAGTAAACTAACCTGAATGGCGAATGATCTTGAATATTCGAACTCTAAATCCTTTAGAGGAGTGCAGATCATTTATGGCTTTATTCACAGAGCCACCGACTTCTAAATCCAAACGCAGACGGTTCTCTAAGCCCGTCAGCATATCCACGTAAAATCTGTCAGATTTAGAGTGGAAAAACATAGAACCATATCCAACAGCCAAGTCTTCAGCAAATGCCTCGGAACTCTGCAACAATTCATCATACTGATAAGCCCCCAATTCGGTTTACATATGCCAGGCGTGCCAAGCAGGTGCGCTAAGTGCAGGGTGATGTGTCAGTGGGCTGGGCTTAGTGTCACTGGGCTGGGTTTACACATGTTATGGGTGTTTTCTGTACAGGGGTATTAGTGTTTTTCTGTTATGGTTAATAAATGAGGGGTGAGGGTGGTGGTGTGGGACAAGTCGTTTTTGGGTTAAGTGACAAAAAGGGGAGAGAGCTGGACCTCTCGAACATCCATGCGAGTTGTATCGGTACTTGAGAAAAATCGGTATCAATACAAACTGTTACACTCTATTTTTCTCTTGATTTCTCATTGTTTACTGTTTGTTTTCATTCGACTTAGCTTGATCTTACCACATACCTACTGCACCTTAACTGCAAAATACAGGCTCGCCTACCAAAACCATTGAAGCCTCGATCCTTGGTTGGCTGAATTAAGTGGGTTTTCAATGACATGATCAAGCACATCTTCACTACACATAACGGCAGCGAGATTTAGGTAAAAATATAAAAAACAATACCATTCACAGGATTCATAATCAACTACCCAATTAGAAACGAAAGTCTGCAATAACCAAGAAACAAATTGGAAAAAAAAATGATATTAACAGAAAAACAATCAAACGTAATCAACAATGTTAATCCAAAAAGAATAAGAATTAAGAGGAACATTAGCAAAATATTATTGAAAGGCACAATGCTAACCCAAAAGCTAACTAACATATAAAAGGCAATACCATTTACAGAATTGATAATTAGTTACCCAATCATAAATGAAACAATGCAAACCAAGAAAAAATTGGACGCATTAGTGTAGTTTAATGCTAACAATCACTATCAAATGGAACAATGCTAATTCAGAAACTAATCAACAGAATAATGCTCACAAATACCAATCAATCAAGCCTATCAAGAAACCTAACATAGAGAAATCAAGAAATCTAACACAGAGATGACTAAGAAATCAAGTTCAATCGAAGATACGGAACGAAGAACCTGAACAAATTCTGGATCAATTTTTTAAAGATAACCAACCTAGGACACTGGAACAAACATTAACCCACATGCCCTTACAGTAACACAAGTTGATAGAATCGAATAAAGAAAAAATACACTTCCAATGAAAACAGAACCAAAATGGAGAGAAACGAAGCCAGTCAAAAAATTTTCGTCAAAACATAACCAAATCAGTTTAAATGAAGATCAATCGAGTACTTACAGAGGTGATAGTCTTGATCTGATGAGCTCCGACCGGCGACCCACAATCGCACGATGATATGAGAAAACCCTAACCACCACAGCCCTGTCTGACCGAGAGATCGGAGAGAGAGTCTGCCAAAACTTCAATCGCAGGAGGATATTAAAACCCTGAAGAGCATAGAGGAAGACCGGGAGAACAGAGAGAGAAGAGAGAGAAACGGGGAAAGAGAGAGCACGAAGAGAGAGCAGACTTGAAGGGGGACGAGAGAGCTCGAAAGAGGAGAGAAGAGCGAGCATAAGATGGCTAAATGGTCTGGGATTTTTTTCATTCAACGGGGTAATATGGGGAATAGTGAAAGTTTCATATTGCAGCACTAGTAGTTTGGATTGGTACGTCGATACACTTTTGCCTTCTTCATTTCACTAATTTGAGTTTTTAATTTTAGTTTTATTATAGTCAAAAGTTCTCACAAAAAATCACTTCTAATTTTTTTTACTACAATAAAAAATTCTCATATAAAATCATATCTTAATTCAAATTAAAACTTAAAATCTGCGAACTGAACGAGGTGTTGATTTTCTCACATATCTCAATTGCGCCAAGAGTAGGAGCGTCAATCTCTACTCGGAAGAGGTATCTATGGGAGCTCAATTAGTTATACTATTTCCACGTTTTCATTCATCTATTATTTGGTTATGTTTCTATCAAGTATGATCTTAATTAATATAAATATATATATATATATATATATTTTCCTTCTCTTGTGGAGGCTCTAATATTTCCAGAAAAATTAAGAAAGCTGTACCGTGGCCCCTTGCATAATTTGAAGCATCTAAAGGTAAAGACACGGTGTGAATTGCGGAGAGAATCCGATTTGAAGAGAGCCTTGCGTTGGCTTGCACCATCTTTGGAGACATTATCTATAGAGCAAAGAGTTGGGCAAGATAGCTTATTGCTGTGAACTTCAATCCTTGTTATGAGTCCCTAATCCCTATCCATTAGTATTACAGAGAAGAAATCAATTATAGAAATTGGTCTATTATAGTTTGTTGTTTGGATATTTAGCTTTGTAATTACTTGCTAATCTTTGTTTGAAAACTTGAGTTCTGTATTCTTGCTACTTTAGACAGATTTTTAAGGAATATAAAACTTTATTATTTCTCTAATATATTATATAAAAAAAAAAGTTACTAATTTGTAATACAGCAAGAAGTTTTTTGACCTCCGGTGAAATTCTATCCAACCCCGACTTAAAACATTGGGCTGCATTATTATTATTGTTGTTACAGTATTACTCCTACTATAGGAATTAGACTCCGGATGAGAGACAATTACAAAACATTTTTAGTCCATGATGTTAAAAGTGCGTTCGGAAAATATATTTAATTTATGATTTGAGTTTATTGAGAGTATTACTATTACTATAGGAATTAGTCTCCAAATGAGAGGCAATTTCTCAACATTTGTAGTTCATGATGTTAAAGATTCGTTTGAAATGTATATTTAAATCATGATTTGGGTTTATTAACTAGAACTTTGTAAGAGAAGAAATTTTAAAATTCAAACTCTTTGGGAGCTATTATAGGAATGAGACTCCAGATGAGAGGCAATTTCTTAACATTTATAGTCCATGATGTTAAAGATCAGTTTAAAAGATATACTCAAATCATGATTTGAGTTCATTGACAGGAACTTTGTGAGAGGAAATTTTAAAACTCAAACTCTTTGTGAGATAAAAAACACTATAGTTGAATTATAATTTGGGTATGAGTATAGTTTCTAAACAACTTCTAAAATTTTTATATACAAGTTTTTGCATATTTGTCCGTGTATATAAATATAGTAAAAATGAATTTAGATTGACGTAACTCATTCGAATTTGCTTATTTTAATAAAAAAAAATAAAATAAGTGTGTTTTTTTTATGCATGGACTAACGGTGCTCATAATCCATGAAGTGTTATGCATATCATAGTGAGATTTTCTCCTCTAATTATGCAAAAGGGGAAAAAAATTTTGATGCAGGCCCAAGGCATAAAGTTACCAATTTGCCACTGGGGGCAGTTTGGAATGGTGGTGCTTCTTAAATGCTAAAATCAATTCTATAGTCATCCAATGGTGAAATATATGTTTGGGTTCATAAAAAGCATTTCATTATAAATACTAAAGCAGAGAAAATATTCACTGTTCACACACTCACAATTTACAATTAATTGTACAGTAATATTTTTGAAATTCCGCTTATGTCCCTTGTCCTTTGAGTGTGAATTGTCAATTTTACCCCCTTTTTTTCTCTTTTCCCTTTCCTGCGCATGGGCTTTTGCATCTTTTGCTCTAGGATTGTCACGTGTCGACACTTGGCTGGCCGAAGAAAAAAGTGGCGGGACCCACCACTATGAAGCTGCCCCCCTTCCCCGCTGAACGCGCTTCTTTTACGCATGCTTTTCATGCATGAATCACAGCTGCCGAAATTTTTTATCGGACGGTTTCAAACCATTTATGGTTTATTTTTTAGATGTTTATTCATTATTATAGTTATTTATTATTTTGAATTGATTTGGAAATCAATTTTGTCTGTTTTACCACCGTTTTGTGCAAAATTTTTTATATTACTTAAATAAAAATACCATAAATAATACAATAAAATTAAATAAAATATGCTAAATTAAAATCAAATAACACCAAATTAAATAAACAAAATAAACAAAATAAAATAGAATTAATTTAAAACACAACGAAATAAGTTAGATTATTTTCCCTCTCTCTTTGCTTAAAATTTTCCCTCTTCATTATTTTCACATTCATGGACCTGTGCAAGGGGCAGAGCTAGCCCATGATAGGAAAATTCATTTAGGTAGCTGGAATGTAGGTTCTTAACTGGTAGATCTATGGAGTTAGTAGATGTTATGGTAAAAAGAAGAATTAACATTTTATGCTTACAGACGAAGTGGATAGGAGAGAAAGCAAAGGAGATTGGAAATTTAGGACACAAGTTATGGTACACATGTCGGGAAAGGAATCGCAATGGAGTTAGTATTCTAGTGGACAAAACTATGAAGGATGACATAGTTGAGATTAAGCGAACATGAGATAGAATTATTATGCTCAAATTGGTACTAGGAAATAAGTTCATCTATGTAATTAGTGCTTATGCTCCACAAATAGGATTGGATGCGGAAATTAAAGTCAAGTTCTGGGAAGACATGGATGACTTAGTGTGTCGTATAGGCAATGAGGATAGTATTTTCATTGGAGGACATTTCAATGGCCATGTTGGTAAGGATATGGAAAACTTCGAAAGGATCCACGGTGGTTTTGGTTTTGGCTCAAAACGAAGAAGGAAAATCTATTTTAGAATTTGTGTTGGGACATGATTTTATCATAACAAACACATTTTTCAAGAAAAGAGATTCTCACTTGATAACTTTTAAGAATGGGAGGAACTTGAGCCAGATAGATTATTTTCTCACAAGGAATAGAGAACGTTCTCTATATAAGAATTGTAAAGTAATTCCTGGAGAAGTACTAGCCACCCAACATAGGTTAGTGATCTTAGATGTGAGCATTAAGCTTTGCTATAGAAGGACTAAGATAAACCACCTCCCACGAACTCGTTGGTGGCATTTGAAGGGAATAAAGCAATTGGTCTTTAAAGAGAAGTTGTTAGAGGAGGTTACTTGGTCATATATAGGTGATACAAGTACTATGTGGAATGTCATGGCCAACTGCATTAGAAAAGTGGCAAAGGAGATACTAGGGGAATCTAGAGGTAAAGGCCCCCCTGGGAAAGAAACCTGGTGGTGGAGTGAGGAAGTTCAAAAGGTTATGTAACGCCCTCTAGAATTAAACATGTTTAATTATGCTAAACTGTGGATTATTAGTGTGCCTAATTTGATTTTCATAATTAATCAAGGGACTTTAAGCTATTTTCAGTATTTATAATTTCACCCCAAAGATTTTTAGAAAACACACTTAAATTTAATACATTTTCCCTTTTTTCCATTTTTCTTTTTCCTTTTCTTTTCTTTTTCTTTTTCTTTTTCTTTTTTTTCTTTTCTTTTTTTTTTCTTTTCCCCATTTCCTTCCCGTGCGCCCAGCCCCCCATTCTCTTTCTTTTTCTTTTTTTTTTTTCTTCCCGTGTGCCAGCCCACCCTTTTTTTCCTTTTTTCTTTTCTTTCTTCTTCTTCTTCTCTGGTTCTTCACGCGCAACCATCTCTCTCTCTAATTTCTTCCACCGCCGGCCACCTCCCTCTCCGGGCTTCCTCCCGCTGGCGTCCTCTCTCTCTCCCTTGCTCTCTCTCTCCGGGTTTCTCTCTCCCTCCCTCTCTCTCGGCAGTTTGGCCGAGAATCTCAAAAAAAAAAAACGAAAAACAGAAAAATTGAGGGAGACAAAGCTCGAGCAACTAATTTGAGGTAAAAGCCTTTGAAACCCACTCTTTGATTCGAATTTTAAGCTTGAGAAAGTTTAATTTTGGTTAGATTTGAATAATTTTGAGTTAAGGTTCGAGTTTGAACAGTTATTATTGGAATCGAATGAAATTTGGGGG